TATTAAAGGGAGGTTATCAACCTCCTCAAAATTGAATGTAGGTGTTGTACTTTCCTTCTGAATTGAATATCTTATTTTCTTTTAGTATAATAAACAAATCTGCTTTTTTCAGTTGCATCCACTAGAGGCAATTTGTAGGAACTGCCTAATAATATTGGAACAAAATATTCCAACTGTTCGTTCCATGAGAAGATTTGGATATAAGGACATTTGCATGATATGTGGATCTTCAATTTTAAGAGTAGACAGAATAAAAATTGTACCTATTGACTGTGCAGAGAGAGAAATTCTTTTGAGGTGGACACCATCACACCAGGTATATACCTCATCTTAAGAGCCTGTAAATAATCCACTAACAGACATAGAAAGCTTTAAGCAAATAGCTTTAAGAAAGAAAATTAAAGTTTAAATAATTTGTACTTAGTCAATTATTGTTAAAATTCATTAATAACTGCCCACTTCTATACTTGATTACCTACCTAATTGTTGATGTATTATTTATTTTATATATTATTATGATGATTGATGATGATTTGGATATAAGGACATTTGCATGATATGTGGAAAATAAAAATTGTACCTATTGACTGTGCAGAGAGAGAAATTCTTTTGAGGTGGACACCATCACACCAGGTATATACCTCATCTTAACAGTCTGTAAATAATCCACTAACAGACATAGAAAGCTTTAAGCAAACAGCTTTAAGAAAGAAAATTAAAGTTTAAATAATTTGTACTTAGTCAATTATTGTTAAAATTCATTAATAACTGCCCACTTCTATACTTGATTACCTACCTAATTGTTGATGTATTATTTATTTTATATATTATTATTTCTTTATAACTAAGTGGAATCTCGAGAACCTTGCTTCCACATAGGTTGTTGGTTCTTCGAGCTATGGCCGGCCCAATGCCACTTCAGCTTACTAATCCGTTGAGCTATGTCAGTTACTCTAGTCCTACTGCGAATATCATTACTAGGTTTATCACAAGGTTCTCAGATGGCAGCCTCATGCCAGTAGGTGAAGTGTGGGAAGGCCCCCGCCAGATGAAGTTATGACCGGGTAAGACATGCAGGAAGTTGATGGACAGGTGGCTCAGTTCTTTGTGGTATTCTTTGGAGGAGGCCTATGTTCAGCAGTGGACTTCTGAAGGGCTGTAATGATTATAGTGGAATTTTATCTGCCACAAAAGCATGTGAAAAAAACAAGTACATCATGTTATGATTTATTTTTTAAATGCATAAAGACTACCTACTCTGTACTATTGAATATAGAATGTAGTAAATACTGAAACAAATGCAATATTATTAGATATTATTATTATTTTCAGATGAATCGCTTAGAAAGAGTCTGCAGGCCTTGCTGGCTAAGGGCTTTGAGAGCTGTGAACAGGCAGAGACTAACAAATGATAGCAGGAATATGGAGGATATTCAAACTATGGAATTTGAAAACAGGGGTAACATCATATAGCATCCCCCTATGCCTGCACCTGTTATTACAGCCATTTCAGGAGCAGTATCAACAATTACTATAACTAATTTTAAGTTCTTCCACTTCCCATTATTGTATTTTTTTATTACGGTTATGTAAAAATACATCCAGATTAGACTATGGAAAGAGAGATTATAGACTGATCAATCATTTTATGAACACTATGCGCTTGTGTTTGTGAATACTGCTCATTTATACACATATAGTAAGTGTTTAGATTTCACTGTGTCTCAAAAAGACAATCTGTGTTCATTACTTAAAAGTAATGTAGCTCAAAATCTGACTACCTTGTTGGTTTAGAGGTCATAAGCGCAAATTTTGATTGTGAAGTTCCAGGTTAGAACCCCCGGTCTGGCCAAAATCGGACATTGGGTTTTTCGGTCAAGAAATTTTCATTAACAGGCCAGAGATACGTAGTTGACAGTGTTTCACCCCCATGCTTTGGAAAGTACTTAAAGCTGTCGCGCCTGACCTCTCCAGTTGTGTCGGATTTCCATCCCATCATACCATGAGAGTGAGGAAACAGAGGGTACAACTGTGCTTGCGCACACACTTGTACATGTTACTTCTGCCCTGCGCAGATGTCTTGTGTTCATTGAGATTAGCCACCGTGACTGAAATTCAGATTGAAGGATGTTATTATTGAGTCAAAATCATAATATAAGTCAGTGCTTTAGAAGAACAATCCAATCAAATGCATTCAGGGGCAATTACCTTGTGTATTCAGCTATTTGCTCAATATAAATTGACAATACCTTATGACTTATTTTGTAATCTAGACATGGATACTGAATTTACGCCAGCCATAGTAATATTTAATGGTACATTTATGTGTAAGAAAGTAGTAATTACTTCTACTAGAAGCAAACATACAGTTTGTTTAGGTACCCTGGATGTTTTTTAACCCTATCCCACAACATGACAGTCAGATAATTCTATAATGCTTTGACAATACAGCAAAAACAGTCAACTGCAAACTTATTTTAGATAAAATGCCATCTTTATTCTTGATACGGGTGTTAGGGATGCAATTCCATGCCCAAATTTACTACACATCTTTTACATGATGGTAATCCATGTCCACCATGACAACCAACATTTCCAGATGTGTGACCTTGTGTAGGTTGGATTATTGAAATTGTAAATGTGAGATTAAAATGGACTTCAGATTATTCCATTTCAATTTCAATACTGTATATACATCTTATGCTATTCTTAAAAATGCAGCTATGTTAATTAATCAGTTGATTTGTGAGAATTTTTATGCTGAAGAGATGTTAACAATTACTCAAGCCAAACTGAACTGGTCTTCTGTTAGGTTGGTTACAAATAATGCTCCCAAACAAAAAAAATGTAATTATACATACTAGTTGACACTAAACCATCAATTGCTAACACTAGTGCTGCATCTATTTGGTGGGCAGACTTAGGGTATGTTCCAAAATAGAACCCAGTGTACTGTCCAATGCAAATGACGTCATGAATTGACGCCATACTGGTGATTCGTTCCAAAACATAGGACAGTATATGACGTCATACATTTGGGTCATATTGGAAAAGTGTTGGCGATTATATTGTCGTTTGTGCCCCAAAAATCATTATATCCTCCTAATTGCAGCAATTATTCTATAATTTTTTGTGTTTGAATAAATAAAAACAAATTCTGGCATGCTTCAGTCAGCATACACGCAATTAAAATTGTTTTAATATGACCGGATATCCGACACAATATGGCGGCGGCACGCCAGTACAATTTGCCGTAAATTGATGACGTCATTGTATTCGGCAGTATACTGGAAACGTTTCGGAACATACCTTTACTGTTGACTGCTGTCTACATCATGTCATATGTTTTGGGTGGGTTTTATCTTGAGCATGGCTTTGAAATGAGGTCGATCCACCTTTATCATTTTTAGATGAAATACTATTAAGTAATGATGTTGAAAATGATGATTATTAAAAATAGTAGATATTAATATTATGATATCAATTAAAATGATTGTTTTTGTCATAGTTGTTATATCCACTGAGTGGGATAACTACAGTTTTATAGTTAGATGCTGTGCTGCCAGTCTCCTGTTATTTTTATTTTACTCTGTCGACTTTTACGACCCCCTTGGGGTGAGATGGTATATTGCAGTCTTAACATATTTTTTTTTTAATAGAATAAGGGTGACCAACAAGCACACAGTCCACCGGATGGTAAGTGAATGCTGTAGCCAATAGACATTTACATTTATCCTCGATTAAGAATCAAAATGTTGATGCATTATCACCCCTGAGGATTAAGATGGAATGCCTCATTTTCAGTAAAAAAGGGTGTCTGGATCTCTACTCTCACCATATAAAACAGCAGTATTAAGCTGATATTTTGCGCTGGTATTCTGTGAGAGCGTGGTCCTTCCTTGGTCGAGTCGACCCATTCGTGCTACAACCATAATGTGGCTGCAGCGTGGTTCTACCACGCATAAATGTCTTAATTTTCACGTATTAATCATTTTTTCGGTCATGAAATGTAATTATATAAGAGAGAACGCTATTTGGTGAGTTAATAGATTCATAATAACTAAATTACTCTTCTCTTGACTAAATGACTAAAGTTTTCCAAACATGAGTATGTTCTTGGTGAGTTAAAAGATTTAGTTTAACCTAAGGCTAGATAAAGATCGGACATTAAATTTTATTATTATAGGGATAGACAAAGATGGTTTGTTTGAAATTGATTTTTCAAGATTTTTCAAAGAAATAGAAAATATCATTGAGTACATTTGTGATACTGTACTGATACTGTTTGCATGCATTTTAAAATCTAGTTATATGTTATAAGAAGCTATCCTTTATTTTATTTATTAATGATTAAACCGTTACAAGAAAACCGAAGGATACCACTATAAGATAACCATTACCACTTGAACCCTTGACCATTATCACTTATTGTGTACATATTGGACTTTAATAAACAACAATAATAATAATAAGGCGTAGGGAATTGACGACCCCATCGCCCGCTGACGTAACAGTTAAGTGACAAAACTGCTACGTCAACGCAGTCAGTCAGCGCCTTGCGAGAGGTGTGAGCGCCGTGCCGCGGCAGAATTTAGGGTGCAGAGTCCCGTTTGTGCTTATGGCTACACACGAAACGGTGCCGGGCCTGGGCGTCTCCCGTTAATGGACGCCCAAATAATGGATGATGGATAAAAAGATAGTGCGCAAAGGGCCGCTGCCTGGGGGGTCGCCGGGGCGCGTCTGGAGCTGGCGCTGGACGCGGCAGCATGCGGGCCCCCAGCCGAGCGCGAGGAGCTGCACGGTCATCTACCAGCCCTCCGCATCCATCATCCCCACCAGAAGGCTTGGTGTCGGCTGGGTCTTCTCGGACTCAGCAAGCGGCATCCGCCGCTGGTGGAGCACGTCGCATGCGTTGGTCACAAGAAATGAATGCAAATGCACTGCGGGCGTACTTTAGGGCAAAAGGGGAAGAAACTGGATGTTTGGCGTATCGGGCTAGGATGCATCGTCTTTTTGCTGAGCTGGAGCCATCTTTAATCGTCACAGAGCAAAACCTGGCAGACCGAGTTCGGTATATCTTGCGCTCAAATATATTTGATGTCGCCGAACTCGAACGGCTACGACGTGAGGCTGTTCCCTCGTCGGATGAGAATGCTACGGCTGAGGATGCGGCGCCACAAATGGTAGAGCAACCCGCAAACGTGGATGCCGCCGTGAATACCCCAGTTGTGGTTGATTCAAACGATGATGGAACAGTCGCCCAGGAACTGGAATTAGAGCATATGAGGAGTATATTGGAAGAGGCGATTGTGGAAACGCGCAGTACGCCTCTCGAAAATCGACCGCGACTTCCCCGCATAGCCCTAAGCAAGCGGAATCGGGCTGTCGTGAGGGCTCTGAACCCAATGCTGGTTACCTATTTGGAAGCCAGCCGGGACCTTTGCGAGACGGACTCAATTCTTTTTGGCGCCGCGCTGGCAGTCTGCCGTATCATAGGCGCCAAGGTTTCCACGGCTGGACGCGCTACTGGCCATAGTAGCGCTATCCCAGCATGGAGAAGAAGAATTGAGGAACGTATCGCAAAGGCTAGAGCTCTCATCGGCAGACTGATATGCTTCAGATCAGGCAACAACAGGCCAAGAATTGTGCGCACCGTCAGGATGGCGTTTGCTGGGACAAATGTCAGTTTGTCCCAGCCGGATATAACGCAAAAACTGACGGAGCGCATAGATGATCTGAAGCAGAGAATCGCTGCTTGGGGAAAGCGGATTCGGCGATATACCGAGAGGTCGACACGGTTCAACCAGAATCGTCTCTTCCAGAGTGATCAGAAGAGGCTCTATGAATCGGGTCCAGCACCGAATCAGGCCGACACTGTAGCATTCTGGCGCGGCCTGTGGTCAGAGCCCGTAAACCACAGCGAGGGCCCTTGGACGGAAGTTGTGGCGAGTCAGTGTGCGGGTATTACGCCCATGGACCCCGTCATCATAACGCCGGATGACGTAGCTGAGGCGGTCCGTAGGGCCCCGAACTGGAAAAGTCCGGGGCTTGACGGGCTGCATCACTACTGGCTGAAGGGGTTCATGGTGTGTCACTCTGTGCTCGCCCGACAGTTTCAAGAGGCTCTCAACCAGAAGTCGCTCCCAAGCCTCTTCACTACTGGGATCACTCATTTAGTTCCTAAAGACCAGGGTACCACAGACCCGAGCAAATACCGCCCCATCACGTGTCTACCGACCATATACAAGACACTAACATCCATTTTGAGCGCGAGAATCACTTGTCACCTGGACTCAAATCAGGTGATGTCGCGCGCTCAAAATGGATGTCGGGGCGGTGGTCGTGGAACCAAGGAACCACTCCTCATTGACGCGGTCATTGGCAAAGTGGTGAAACGCAACCGTCGGAACTTCTCCGCCGCCTGGATAGACTACAGAAAGGCATTCGACTCGGTACCCCATACATGGCTAAGGAGAGTCCTCGAGCTGTGCAAGATAGACTGTACAGTTAGAGACTTCCTCGAGCAGTGTATGGGGCAGTGGAGTACGATCCTTTGTCATCTGGGCGAGCGGATGATGGCTGCGGAGAACCACATAAGGATAAGAAGGGGTATCTTCCAGGGCGATTGTCTGAGTCCAATCTGGTTCTGCCTCTCTCTGAACCCTCTCAGTACCTTACTGGAGGGCTCCGGGAGGGGATTTCAGCTACGGAAAGGAGGGACAAAAGTGACCCACCTTTTCTATATGGATGACCTCAAGTTATTCGCCTCCAGTCGCTCCCATCTTATGGAATTGCTAAACATCACTTGTGAATTTAGCAATTCCATTGGAATGGAGCTGGGGACGGATAAGTGTGCGGTCCTCCATGTTGAAAGGGGAAGGGTTGCTAACTCTGAGGGCGTAGACTTATCTATGCCCGTCAACTTAAGGACCCTTTCCGAGGCTGAAACATACCGATACCTGGGTATGTCACAAAACATCGGTATCGATAAGACTGGTATGAAACAGTCAGTTTGCGACGTGTTTTATGCACGCTTGACCAAAGTGCTTAACAGCCTTTTGTCCGGTGTGAATAAGGCACACGCATATAACGGCTGGGTCATGCCTGTCCTCATGTATACGTTTGGCATACTCAGGTGGACTCAGACTGAACTTAACGCCCTGGATAGAAAAGTCCGCACTACAATGACGTCCCATAGGATGCATCATCCGAGATCGTCGGTAATGAGGCTGTACTTGCCGCGGAAGCATGGTGGTCGTGGCTTCTTGAGCGCGCTCACCATGCATAATCGCGAAGTGTGCAGCCTCCGTGATTACTTCCTGGCGAGATCGGATGATCCATTCTATAAGGACGTCATTTCTTGTGATAAAGGACTTACCCCTCTATCCTTAGCCAACGAGCAATGGCAAGACCCGGCAGTGCAGAGCATTTCCGACCAGGAGACCGTATGGAAGGAGAAGGAGCTCCACGGGAGGTTCTACAAGGCTCTACATGAGCCTTTCGTAGACACAGTAGCCTCCCTCCACTGGCTACGCTTTGGTGATCTCTTCGGGGAAACCGAGAGTTTTGTCTGTGCAATACAGGATCAGGTTATTAAGACCAACAACTATCGGAGATACATCCTAAAGGATGGCACCGTCGACATCTGTCGAGCTTGTCGCCATCCCGGTGAGTCACTTAGGCATGTTATCTCCGGTTGTTCGGCGCTTTCTAACTCTGAGTACTTGCACAGGCACAACCTAGTAGCCAGAATTCTACACCAGGAGCTCGCTCTGAAATACGGTCTCGTGGATCGGAAATTGCCGTATTACAAGTACTTGCCGGAAGCCGTGCTCGAAAATGATCGCGCCAGGCTCTATTGGGACCGGGCCATCATCACAGACAGGACTATTCTTGCGAATAAGCCTGATATTGTGCTGATGGACCGGGCACAGTCAAGGATATTTTTGGTCGACATTACCATTCCGTATGACGAGAACCTCGTGAAAGCCGAAACAGACAAGCAAACAAAATATCTGGACCTGGCTCACGAGGTGACCGACATGTGGGGTGGTCTGCCGACCGAAATTATTCCTGTAGTCGTCTCTGCAAACGGGCTAATCCCAGTCAGCCTCTCGGGTCATCTGAGGCGGCTGGGACTACGTGGCGGACCGCTCCAGGCTCAAATGCAGAAGGCGGTGCTCCTCGATACCGCCCGCATCGTCCGCCGGTTTCTTTACCTTTCCCCCTAACCCTCGGCCGTTTGGTCTCCCCTGCCGAGGGCCTCCATCTGGTTGGGCTTTTATTTATTTATGTACTTTTATATTTATTTTATGTTATTGATATTTATGTATATTTGTCTTTTCATTTTCATTTATAATTATATATTTATAGCACCCAACCAGATGAGAAAACTATATAGATACCCCATAATAATAAATAAAAAAATAGTAATATTTGCAAGAGCCGTGGTAGGAAGTTTGCCAACACGCATTGGGGCAGTGCCGCGAACACTTCCTTGCCTTAAAATCCTTTCACAAATGAGTGGAGGCCTGTGCCTGGGACTTATATAGGCTGCAACTAACTAACTAAATATCAGCACGGTAAGTAGTAAGCATTCTTAATAGAAATGTTTCACACAAAGTAAACAACGCGTTTTGTTGAAAGACTTGTCTATATTTTATTTTATATGTTAGGACGGGGGTTCACTAAAGCGAAAAGAGGAAAGGAGAGGGGATATATTTTTATACAAATGACGCAGCTGGATGAAGATAAATTTTTCACTTTTCACTTTAGTTAACATGCGCTCTTACAAAGAATATGTATCTACACGAAATTCTTTTTTTTTTTTCATATAAAGAATACTCAACTTATTTAGGTATTTAAGTTCTTCCACTTCTTAAGTTAAAGGCGCCTTTTAATACGGTGTGTAGGTACGTTTATATATATATATATATATATATATATATATATATATATATATATATATATATATATATATAATGCCGAAAATAAATACGATGAGTGTTACTTTTTATTATTTTATGATATAATTTATATAATTGTATTATTTTTTGATTTATATTAGTATTAGTACTTTCGGAAATAAATATTGTCAAAGTTTGTGGTCCTCATAATTATGACCTCTGCCCATTTGATAAGAATAAATGTAGCCTCCATTTGGCCGCTGTCCTACAAGCTACCTGCATCATTATTAAGGGGTAGACTACATCATTATAAAAATGAAATTTAATATAAAAATCCTTTATAACTGAGCAAACGGGTATCTTATATGTCCTTATTAGATTATTGATCTTTTCAGAAGACAAAAGCCAACGGAGAAAAGATATTCGCGACCATGGAATTGAAGAAGCTTCAGAAGAAATTTATGGATCGTCGCAAGATGAATCATCTGAGATTCTTCACCAATATCTTAATTACACATTTGATTAGACACAATAATGATGGTCTGCATATGCCATCCGGTGACACCAGGAAACGATGCAGTACAAGATAAAACCCACAGAGATCATGTGCAAAGTATGTCAAGTTCCGCTCTGCACAGCACCTTGTTTCGATAATTACCACCAATAATATATAAATAAACATTTTTCTAGGTCCAAGCGTTGTTTTATTATGTTAGTGAATAATTAACAATGATGTAGTCTAACTCTTAATAGCTGTGCAGAACACCTTTTTTTTATAGAAGGGGGGCAAACGAGCATGCGGTTCACCTGATGTTAAGTGATTACCGCCGCCCATGATCAACCGCAACACCAGGGGAATTGCAAGTGCATTGCCGGCCCTTGAGAAAGGAGTAAGCTCTTTTCTTGAAGGTCCCCAGGTCCGGAAAAATCGCCGGTGGTAAACTATTCCACAGAGAGGTTGTACGCGGAGGAAAACTCCTTTTGAAACGTACAGTGGTGGACCGCCAAACATCCAGATGGTGTGGATGGTATCGGGACGTTTGCCGCGTAGTGCGTTCACGAAATTTGGCGGCTGCACTCAGCACTCTCCATGGTATATGCGAAAGAAAATGCAAGGAGATGCAACATCTCTTCGCAGTGCCAGTGAATCGAGCCGATCGGAAAGCACTCGGTCGTCGACGATTCGAGCTGCTTTGCGTTGGATGCGGTCAAATGGAAGTCCAAACTAACGGCTAATGCCTCCCCCTTGGACTCTACTGCCTCCGCCCATCTGTGAGTTAGGTAGACCAGAAGATCACCAGCTGAACGACCACGGCGAAAACCGTATTGGCGGTCACTAATCAGCTGGTGATCCTCAAGGTTTCTCATGAGCTGGCAGTTTACAATGGACTCCATTGTTTTGGAGAACAAGGAGGTGATGGTGATAGGCCGGTAGTTGGACGGGTCACTTGCTGGACACGTAACATACAGACCACATTATTTTTGTGCAAAGGGCAGTGGTCATAGAGAGACCACAGGGTGGATTCGCCTCCCCCCATTTTCCCCCGCCGGACCCCTTCTAACCTCATCTGTCCGAGTCGGGCTGCCCCAAGTCCCGAGCTCGGTTCGCTCGTCTTGCACCAAATAATACACCAAAAATGTTTACTTTTATAATTACTTTAATAAGTAAACATATTTTGTCTCCTCCATCATTTCTAAATTCTTTGTTCACCACAAGCATTCCACTATTGCATCACCAAAATTCTCTGTATTATTTTAATTAGGTATCTTTGTTTTTAAAACACTTTACGGCTCCATTGTGTTTCAATCCTTTGTATGTGTCCCGTCTGAAGCCACAAATGGATTGTCAGGATCCAAATAGTTGACTTTTTTGTAGGTGTACCCATGTTGCGCTAGGCAGTTATATGCTCTCCAAAAATCTGTGTGAATTTTGGTGCCCGCGTCTATGTGTTTTTGAATTAAGCGCATCATTTTACAAGTTTTGACAAATCTAACTTGAAAAAAAACGTAAGTTAAGTTAGTATGCAAAGTTTCATGATCTTATTTAAAGTATTTTATGAATAACAGCGGTTTATTGTTCAGTTTGGAGGTAAGTTTGGATTTCTTTCTATCCAGAAAATTTTACGGAATCATGTTTTCGTTTAACATAGTACTTAACATTAATCCTTAACTTTACCATATATTTATTTCAAAATTAATGCTGCAATATTTTCGGTATAACGGAAGATCTTGCTAAGCCATTTGAGGTTATATTTCCCCTTAATGAACATTTTTAGAAAATGATTTTGATATCGGTTGTATATAACACTAGTTTACAAAATTGAACTTTTTTTTATACCCCAAAATAAATGTTTATAAATATGTTAATATACGTTACTTAAACCTAAAAGTGTTAGCAGAAATATTTTATCACGTCACAATTTCTTTCTGCAGTCGAATATTTTTTTAAAATACCTAACGTGGTGATGACAGTTTATTGTTTATTCGTTCGCTTCAAACGACAATTATTTTGTTTCGGATTGATTTAAAATGTCGAGTGGAGAGTGTAAACAAAGTTCAGATCGTTTTTGTTATGTTTATGGACAGTTTATATTTTCAAAAAAGAGAAGACCCATTGTACATTCGTTGAAAAAGTGCATATCTTCATTATTTTAGATTTTCTGTTGCAAATCAAGATAAAAAGTGGGTGCCTCATGTGTTTTGCGAATGCTGTAGAATCGTTTTATTCCCGTGGTCATCAGGAGAAAACGTTCACCTTCTATTTGGTTCACCAATGCTATGGTGTGTTATTTGGATTGCAGGGTGGTTACACAAAATACTGTTATTTCCTTTGTTTGTGGGATAGTGGAGCGAAACAACATCATCATGTTAGAAAAGAATGGCCTATTCGGAATGGGTATATTCCGGGCAAAATGAACGTTAAATACGTTGTTGGTAGATCCCAATAACATCACCACCCCCTTTACACCAAATTGGGGCTTATGAAAAATTTTGTGAAGGCGCTTGACAAAAACAGTGATGCTTTCCGGTATTTTCGAAAAATCTTTCCAAACATTACAGAGGGAAAGCTAAAAGAGGGTATATTTGTTGCCTCATAAATCTGTAAAATCATGAAAGATTCTCGATTTGAAAGCCTTTTATCCGTTAATGAAAAATCTGCTTGGAAGCCATTCAAAATGGTTGTAGGAATTTTTTTTTTTGGGAAATAAAAAAGTGAAAATTACAAAGAAATTGTTACCGATTTATTGGAAAATTTTCAAAAGGTGGGAGTAAACATGTCATTAAAGATTCATTTTCTGCACTCGCATCCAAATTTTTCCCTGAAAACTTAGGAAGTACGAGTGATGAACAAGGGGAATGTTTTCACCACGATTTAAAGGTTTTAGAAGAACGACATCAAGGATTTTGGGATAAAACGTATTGGCGGATTACTGCTGGTCCATTATAAGAGAAACTAATTCAAATAGTTATAAAAAGTAGGAAAAAATTTGTAATTTTTAATTTTTTTTAGTAGGTATTAATACCAAAATTATTTTTAATTAAGTTGATAAATATTTCTTAAACTAGACGTGACAGAATTTTTTTTTGAATAATTCTACATAAATGAATAACAAAATAACAACTTTCAGCTGGGGTATGAAAACCGTGTAAACTAGTTATTATTAAATTATAAAACGGAACTTGAACTTGATATTTTAAAAATAATAATTTACTAAATGTGATTTACAGAACCACATATCTTTAAAAATAGTTTCGCTTTATATAGGTATAAAGCGAAACTACCCACTAAAACATCTAAACGTTTACTTATGGAACGTCGTATAATCGTAATAATTATTTTCTCAGGCTGTCATGATGATAATGTCTGATATTTTCAACTTACTACACATTTTAAAACTTTATTTACGGCTTTAATTCCATTTTAATAAAAATTTATCGATATTATGTATTAACAGAGTAGGTGCAATAATCTATATCTACGACACTATTTTAACTCTACGAGGATACATACATTTTTTTTTAAATTTAATTCTGTATGTAATAAATATATATAGTTCGTTATTTCGTATCTTGCAATTCCTCAAGGTCATTGCTCATTATAACCGCAGCGCTCCATCACAAAGCTATGGTAAGCATCGCCTCGAATAAAAGCGAACGTTTCCACTGTAATTCTGTGTTCACTATCTATACCTAGACGTTGGTCGGATGCCAAACGTCGTCGTTGCCCAAATGTTTGTTTTATTTCGCACTAGTTATGGTGCGCTTTTCTTAAGCGTTGACTTATATATGTGCCATCGACGTGGCGTTGACTCATATATCTCGTTATGTATCACTTAGTGAATCCTAATAATAATAATAATATATATATATATATATATATATATATATATATATATATATATATATATATATATATATATATATATATATAGTAATTATATGTGGTAGAGACGCGCTGCTGTTATATTATGCTTATAAAATAAATGGGTCAACTCGACTGAAGAGGGACCACACTCTCACAGAATACCAGTGTAAAAAGCAGCTGAATGCTGCTGTGTTTCGTATGGTGAGTGTAGAGAACCGAAGACCCTTTTTACTGGAAACTAGGCATTCTATCTTCGTCCTGAAGGTTGTCAAGGCATATGCATAGATGTCTACGGACTACCGCGTCGTATCATCAGGTGGACTGTGTGCTCGTTTGTCACCCTTATTCTATAAAAAATGATTTTAATTTTATTAGTCGACTTACCAATCGCCTTCTATGTTACCAATTAAAACTGTAAATAGTTGATTAAAATGTCGGTTCGTTTTGCAGTGGCGAGTCCGCCGGGCGGCGCGGGCGCACCGCGAGACGACTCGCCGCGCCCGCCACCAGCGCCCGCGCCTCGCAACGGCACCCCTCCCAGTAAGCACGCTCTCCGACTATGCGGCTATCACGACGTAAATTTTAAGCCTTAAGGGTACACTAGTCGCTCATACAAACGTAGTCTGGCGATTACTCCAAGGTTTGATGGTGCACGTTCAAAATAAAAAATGAGTTCAATTTGTCTCATCATGATCTAGCCCTGTATGGAAACAAAAAATAATAAAGAATATATTTAAAAGTACTAATTTTAACATATCTTTGGGCGAAAAAAAATACCATAAGAAGAACGAAAATTGCAAAACAGTTACCATACAGGGATATATTAGGTGTTCAAAATTGCAAATAATTTTATTTTGAACAGATACATTCAATAGATTTTTCACGATATCCAGATTCCCAAAGGTTTTTTTATAAAATTTCGCTCGTTCGTTTCGTTGTAAATCATCATGCCTTTCGCTTTCGCACGCGATGTCGGCTGAGATTGCATGCATTTTAACCCCGCCCACCACTTAGTTCGTGCCATCCACTAGGGCCACCTTAAGAAGCCTTATGTCCTTTACGAAACAGAGACCGCAGAGTCTTAGAGATTACAGGGCGACGAAGCAGGCACGTTTGCCCGGATATATTCAATTTCGGGGAGAAACAATATTTTCACGAGT